TATACTGTTCATAACTAGCAATAACTGAAATGAAACGGCGACAAACACTGAACACGGAGACCATTATATATTGGTCGAAAGCCACAGAACAGAAACAAATGGGAACCACTGCTCTAAATACAAACCCTAACTGCAAACCAGAACGAACTTCACTCACGTCTGGGTGTCGGATCCGAAGACTTTGTCGCACTCTCCGATAATCACGTGGTCGCTGTTGCCGCACTTCCTGGCCCCTTTCCCGCCGCCAGTGGCTCCGATGATGGCGTTCTCCCCTTCCCGAAAATTCGTGAAGGCCAGCAGGTTTGGCTGCTCGAGGTCGAAGTCCAGGAAGTCTAGCTTGATGGGACAGGGGCTGCCGTCTGTTTTGTTTGACACACACTGTAAGTAGATGGGCATTCAGGTCCCGATCAAGGGAATACGAACTTCAGATACTTATTGAAAGGGCTACGAACACTATGTACAGTATCCCTAGAGCTTCGGTAGCTTGCCCTTTTCATTCTTTATTTTTTTTTTGTTTTCTTTCTCTATTATTATTTTTTTACAAACCAAACAGAAAGGGGAATCAAGGATATTTTTCCTTGCAATTTAAGTACACATTTTTGAAATATAAATATTCACATCAGTATGTGTGTATATAGACCGATAGATAGATAGAGTGAGAGAGAGAATGAAAGAGAGATATAGGAAGAATGAAAGAGAGAGATAGAGAGAGAGAAAGAGAGAGATATAGAAAGAAAGAGAGATAGAAAGAAAGAGAAAGAAAGAGAAAGAGAAAGAGAAAGAGAGAGAGAGAGAGAAAGAGAAAGGCCGAGTTTTTGAGAGCTGAGCCCGTCGGCCGCCTCCACCCACCCTGAAGATGTAAGGACACCTGATGTTGTTCAAGTAGGGCTGCGGGTATTGCGGGGAGGTTATCACACGGTCCTTCGGCGGTGCTTTGGTTCCTTGCAGGATGTAGAAGACGCCGCCGCAGCATCCTGGCGGGGATCTCGCGACCAGTCTGGGGAGAAGACGAGCGGTGAGGAAAGAGCGGATGAAAAAGATGCAGATGATAGAAGAAGAGAGGAGGTGAGGGTGATTTGAAGATAGGAGGGAAAGCGACAGAGGAGAAGGGAGGGTCTTGAGAATGTGATAGATATATGTATATGTATAGTACGAATATATATATATACTATATATAGTTATAGATTATATTATAGTATATATATATATATATATATATATATATATATATATAATATATATTATTATATATGTATGTGTATACATATTTATGTACATATATATATATATATATATATATATATATATATTATAATAACATATATATATATAAGTATAATATAAATATATATATATACACACATATATACATATATATATGTATATACATAAATATATATATATATTATATTATATATATATAATATATAATATATAATATATATATATAATATATAATATAAATGTATATGAAAATTAGCAATACCCTGTGTAAATGGTTTGTGATGGTTTCACTAAATATGCAAATGAGTGACTGGGTGTGTGAGGATTTGGGTGGTCGAGCCATTTGCGTGTGCTCGTCGACGGGTTCACGAACCCGAAACAGAAGTGAGGTCAGCGACCACGACAGCCTGCCACTTGGCTCCGATCTCTACACCTATTCACTTCATGCAAGTAATTACATTACATGTGGAATTCTTGTTGGACTTTGTTTATTAATTTGAAACTGCTCTAATTCTACCCTTAAAAAAGGGTATGTGATATATGTTAAGTGTATAAGTGTATGTGTATATAAAAAATAAACTATATGGATTTCTTTATACTAGCCCCTGAATCTTGTTTTAATGAATGACATTGTACACAGCCCATTGACTGTTGAACAGCAAACTGAAAACGTAATTGTTAAACAGCAAGCATCAGTTAGTGGGCGCAAGATCTTATCAGGCGAATTCTACAGTGTGCATTGCCCGGAGGTTTATTAATGTGCAGAGATATTGTACACTTATTTTTTGTGAGATCCTGACAAGTTCGAATGGCTGTTTGCACGGCTCTCACATTCCCTCCGTCCCTCCTTCGCCTTACTAGAGACAATACCTATATATGGCAATAAAACAGTGAAGTCTTCTAAAAATATTTCAATTTGAAAACAATTGCTTAATATTAATGCAAATACAGTTCAATCAAAATTTCATTGTTGTACCCACTACGAAAAAAAAATAAATAAAATAAACTGAGTGACGGCTTAACAGTAAAGATAAAAAAAAGGCCGAACACCTTCAAGAGAGACACACAAAGGTTGGCGCCCCACCGCCACTCAGGTTCCAATAAAATAACGCCAGTTCGAGGCCTCGGAGCGCCTGGCGTTCGAAGCTGTGTTGTTTAAAGGACGGAAGTGGTCTTCTTTCTTCTTTTGGGGGAAGTGGTGGATCTCCAAGGGAAGAGTTAAACTACAGCCCATAGAGAAAATATACTCACTTTACGTTTGGAATTATGTTTGTCA